AGAAATTTTCAAAGTCCTAAAATCCAAAAAGTAAACTTCTGATTTCTACTTTTCTCCTAACCCTGGGGTCTTCATAAAGATGATACAAACATCTCAGTATTACACTAGAATCTGAAAATTTTAAAATTCAAAAAGTAAACTTCTGGTTTCTGCTTCCCTCCTAATCAATAAGGTCACCATATAGAAGAATTTTAAAATTTCAAAATACAAAAAGTAAACTTCTGATTTCTGCTTCTCTCCTAATCAATAAGGTCACCATATAGAAGAATTTTAAAATTTTAAAATACAAAAAGTAAACTTCTGACTTCTGCTTTTCTTCTGACCCTGGGGTCTTCATAAAGATGATACAAAAATGTCAATATTATAGAAGAATTTTAAAATTTTAAAATTCAAAAAGTAAACTTCTGATTTCTGCTTCTCTCCTAATCAATGCGATCACCATATAGAAGAATTTTCAAATTTTCAAAATTTTCAAAAACTGAAATTTTCAAAAATTAAAATTTTTAAAATTTTGACTTGTGGAACTCAAAATTTGTATCAGTTTGATATTTGCCACTCCATGGAAATTGCTGTACAAATTGGAGAACAATCATTACCAACAAATCATCCTAATCTTAAAATGTATGGAGACAATCTCGAAAACGTAAAAAAGAAATTGTAATTTCTTTCTGTATTTTTTGCTGAAAGTAAAGTGAAACTGACTATAGAAACTCTGTTCTTGTTGATAAAAGAATATGAGCGGTAACACTCACCGGTAAAGTAAATAATATAAATATATTGAAAAGATATGCATTGTAGAAAAGACCTTCACGGTTATATTATTATGTCTGAACAAATAGAATTTCGTAGTGCAAGATAAGAAAGGAAGATACTCAATAGGAACATAGAAGAAGTTGGTATTACATTTATTTTTGATCCACACCTACACCCTATCGCAGAGTTCTCAATTTTTCTTCATCATGCGCGACCTTGTTCAACACTATTACAATTCAGTTCCGTATAAGTTATTCTTCTTTTATTTATTTATCAACTATCCCTTTCCATTTTTTCCTTTACAATTTCAATATTATTTTTTACAGCTTTAATGTCACGATGAGTTGGAGGTAATGACCGTTCTTTGATGTCCAGAGCACGTTCATAATATGATAGTGCTTTTGAATAGTCTTTCATACTGTAATACACACCAGCGATGTTGTTGTATGAATTAGCCAAAGATGGATGGGTTGAAGGAAGAGTTTTTTGACGAATTTTAAGGTCTTTTTCGTAGTATGAAAGAGCCTTTAAATCCTCCTCCATGCTTTTATAAACCATACCCATGTTGTTGTATGAAGTAGCCAAATCAAGCTGATGATCTGAAGAAAGAGTTTTTTGATAGATTTCAAGTGCTCTTTCGTAATACGAAAGTGCTTTCGAGTACTCTTCCATGCTGTAATATACACCAGCGATGTTGTTGTACGAAGTAGCCAATGAAGGATCGTTTGAAGGAAGAGTTTTTTCTTTAATTGTAAGTGCTTTTTCGTAATACTCAATAGCGTTTTCATAATCACCCTGTTCATCTTTGATATATCCCAGCTGATTGTAGTAATGCTGCTTTTCACTTTTATTAGATGTCTGTTCGAGTAATACGCTATAAAGTTGTTCAGCTTTATCAAATTGACCAATAGTAATTAATAAGTTGCCCAATCTTTTCCATCCAGTACTACCGCCAGCTTCTTCTCGTATCCGATCAGTAAGTAATCGTAGTTGTTGGTCATCATCCGATGTTAATTCTAATTCAACTTGATAAAGTTGATTCTTATTGTCCATTTGTTTAATTGCATTCACTCGAAAGACGGTGTGCATTGAGAACAAAATTTCTTCTTCTTCTGCCTCGAAATAACTATATTCATTAATAGAGGCAAATGGTGTTGATTTAATAGAAGGATCAATCGACATTATAAAGAGAATGCCAACCGTATCTAGCTTTGATAAAGCACGTCGAGCAAATTCGAGAGACACCTCTTCATTTCGACTGGTGGACAAGAAATTGTTAAATGACATAAGGCCACCTTCTGCTTTCTGAAGTTTTTCGAAGTCTGATTTCATTAGACCTTGGCCTCGATACACTTCAAAAGGTTTTCTTCCATAACTACTGACTTGTTGTTTGTACAGTTTTTCAATTTGTTGATGAATATCACGTAGGAAGAAGCCCATAGTAATGATTATATCGGCATCCATAATTCGAAGTGCTTTATTGAGCATTTTGTAGGTAAAACACTCACATGTATACCACCATATTGCTTTTTCTGGATCATAATCACGCTCGAATTTATTAATAATGTTTAATTCAGTTGGATCATCACTAAAAACTTCGCGACCACATTTTGCCAAGTCCTGAATTACCTTGTCACCATATTTGATATCAAGGAGAATTTCCTTGAATAACTGTGTATACATAAAGGTTGGCTCCAACCGATTTAAATTTTTAGTTAAAGCCATTTCATTGACCGCGAGAAAACTTACGGCTATTGTATCCTGATCACATTGTTTAACAGCCAATCGTAATGCTTGACAAATGTCTTTGATATTTGTATGGACACCTTTAATTTTGGTCCAGTTTTGTGTCCATCCTTGATGTCTGGATTTGTCGCCACAAAAAATATAAACTGCATCTAACTGTGGCATGTCATGAATTTTAGGAACTAAATTTTTGCCTAATGAGCCTGATGTTATGACAAAGGCTTGTTGTTTGTCAGCCTTGTTGAGTACTTGGATGCACTGATTCGGTTCAGTGCATAAGTTGATATTACTGACCACACTCTTCAATTGAGTGAGTGTGTCTTGGCAGTCCTTGTCTGCTTGGTCGATGTTGGCATCTACCCACACAAGAAGGTAGTTTCGAGCCATACATTGTCGTGATTGACGAATATTTGATGGTGCAGCAGCATTTTGGTTTGATTTTGATCCGCTCATTCTGATCTTGCTGTGATTTGTTATTGTTTGAATGAAAAGAAAGATCACTGTTCTTCTTTATATAGGCAATGACTTGTTGTTTCTCGATTTTTCGGCGACTGCAAATGTTTGTGTGTTTTTCTTGTCACTCAAAAACAAACTCTACCTAGTTACTTTTGAAAATAATATTGTGCAGAGCAATAAACAGATCAAAACAAACAAAGTTGATGGTAATATTATTGAAAGAACGAACAAAACAGAAGCCAACAATTCAAATTCGTATTATTATTATTCTTTCCAACTTTTTCTTACCTATGTCTACATCATTATTGCAGTTTGTTAATGTGTAAGCAACATTTTTTTCATCGAGTAAAAATAGAAAGAGAAATACTATTTTTTCAATGGATTAGTTTTTCTCTTACACTCCTTTGTCAGACATTATACGAATGTTTGATGAATGTATGAACTTTTTTTATGAAAAGAAAATGAAAAAAGTTTTATGAGATTTTGTACATCGAGCATGCTTTAAATATTATGTCAATGGATGAAAAAAGACATATAGTCTTCATATTGATGAAAATAAGATCGAAGAAGCTTTGTTGATCTCTGTTGAAACAAGCAAAGTGTTTCATATATGATCACAGAAGTTTTCTTAAAAACATAAAAATATTAAGAAAATTTTTCATAATTCGACTATGAAATATTATTATTGAACGAAAGAGAAATAGTTTTATATTCATAAATATGCAAATGACTATTTCAACTGACGACGGAAATTGAAAAAATAAATTTTCTTTAAAAAAAGGAGATGCGCAAGAACTATATACTCTATAGGAGAAAAGAGACTTATTGAATGCTTTATCAAATGATGTATTATTTGAAGTGAGATAAAGCTCCTCTATGAGGTGTTCAAATGACAGTTTGTTGTCGCATTAAAATAAATAATTTGTGAAATGATTTCTTTATCAAATTAATATTATAAACTTAAAAAAAAAAAAGATTTCTGTGTAAAATTGTTACGAATTAGCTGATTGTTTTACTTGTTGTCCGAATAAATCAAATAGATAATGCAGATTTAGTATTATCAGTTGAATAAATAAAATGATTATAGAATTTGTAGTAGGTTTAGTTCATTGACTAGACAAAAAGCAAATGAATCATAAATACAATGAAAGGGTGTGGGTGACGAGGGATATTTTACTCTCATACCCGCACCCCTATACTCACCGACACACACGTTCATATCCACACTCATACCCACACCCACCCCACACCCATGCATTTAATTTAGTTGATCTATTTCTGTAACTTATATTGTCCTTTGTGACACTTCTGAGCGTGATGCTCATTAAAAAAATGAGATATTAACATAAGACACCTCTTAAAACGATTTCTCTCTTAGTTTGAATCCGAGATCACAAGACTATAACTGATTTTTCTATATTATAGAATGAATTATAATTTATCATATCTTCAATATGTCTAAATATATCAATACATCGTAGATAAACGATTATTCTTTTCCTTTAGTTCTAATTAATGATGAGTACGAATTGAATGATTCAATTATAGGATGTCTTGATGACATATCAGTATATATACTGCAATTTTTTAACTTTTTCTCCATCATACGAGGTGTCGTTCCACATTATTACAATTCCATTTCATATAAGTTATTCTTCTTTTATTAAAAAGAACCCTCTTGTGAAGAATTAGAAATGTAAATATGTCTGAGAAGGTCATTTATACCATATCAGTCGGCTTTGTCACTTACGTTTTTATTATTTACAAAATTGTTCTCTGTACGTGTACGCGAGTCATTACAACATAGAATTAATTCAAAACATCAGTAAACAAAACGTTTTTTTATTCATCAATTATTCTTTATAATTTCTTTTTCACAATTTCAATACTGTTTTTCAACGCTTTCATATAAGGATGAGTTGGAGGTAACGCATGTTGCCATATGTCAAGAGTATGTTCATAATACGAAAGTGTTTTCGAATACTCTCTCATCTCGGAATACACAAAGCCGATGTTGTTATATGAAGCACCCAATTCAGGATGATTTGAAGGAAGAGTCTTTTGTTGAATTTCAAGTGCTTTTTCGTAATGTGAAAGTGCTTTCGAGTACTCTCCCATCTTGGCATACACACCTCCGATGTTGTTGTATGAAGTAGCTAAATGAGGATGATCTGAAGAGAGAGTTTTCTGACAAATTTCAACTGTTTTTTCGTAAAACGAAAGTGCTTTTGAGTAATCTTCCATGCTACTATACACACTACCGATGTTGTTGTAAGAACTAGCCAAATCGGGATGATCGGAAGGAAGAGTTCTTTCTCGAATTTCTCGGCCTTTTTCGTAAAATGAAAGTGCTTTCGAGTACTTTTTCATGCTATCATACACGCTGCCAATATTGTTGTAGGAAGTAGCCAAATCAGGATGATTTGAAGGAAGGGTTTTTTGTTGGATTTCAAGTGATTTTTCGTAAAATGGAAGCGCTTTCGAGTAATCTCCCATGCTATGATACGCACTACCGATGTTGCTATATGAAGCAGCCAAATCAGGATGATCTGCAGGAAGAGTTTTTTGACAAATTTCAAGGTCTTTTTCGTAAAAAGAAATTGCTTCTAAGTATTCTCCCATCTTGTGATACACACTACCGATGTTGCTGTATGAAGTAGCCAAGTCACGATGATATGAAGGAAGAGTTTGTTTTCTAATTTCAAGTCCTTGCTTGTGATACCAAATAGCCTTTTCATAATCGCCTTGATCATTTTTGATATATCCCAGCTGATTATAATAAATCGCCTTTTCACTCTCATTAGACGTCTGCTCGAGTAGTACGTTATAAAGTTCTTCAGCTTTATTGAATTGACCAGTTTTAATCAATAATATGCCTATTCTTTGCCATCCACTACCACCAGTTTCTTTTCGTATCCGATCAGTAAGTAATCGTAGTTGTTGATCATCGTCCGACGTTAATTCTAATTCAACTTGATAAACTTGATTCTTATTACCGATTTGTTTAATTGTATTCACTCGAAACACGGTATGCATTGAGAAGAGAATTTCTTCTTCTCCCTTAAAATAACTCACCTCTTGGATGGAGGCAAATGGTGCTGCTTTCAAACAAGGATCAATAGACATTATAAAAAAAATGCCCACCATATCAGGTTTTGTTGAAGCATCTTGAGCGAAACTGATGGACACTTTTTCATTTATGCTGGTGGACAGGAAATTGTTGAATGACATGAGTCCACCTTCTGCTTTCTGAAGTTTCTCAAAGTCTGATTTCATTAGACCTTGGCCTCGATACACTTTAAAAGACTTTCCATCATAAGTACTGACTTGTTGTTGATGTAGCTGTTGAATTTGTTGATGAACATCACGTAGGAAGAAGCCCATAGTAATGATTATATCAGCATCCATAATCCGAAGTGCTCGATTGAGCATTTTGTAGGTGAAACACTCACGTGTATACCACCATATTGCTTTTTCTGGATCATAGTCACGCTCGAATTCATTAATAATTTTTAATTCGCCTTTGTTGTCGGGATATAGTTCGCGACAAAGAATAACCAAGTCCTTGATTGCATTATCACCGTATTCCATATCAAGGAGTATCTCCTTGAATAATTGTGTATACATAAAAGTTGGCTCCAACTGATTTAAATTATCAGCTGAAGCCATTTCATTTATCGTAAGAAAACTTACGGCAATTGTGTCCTGGTCGGATTGTTTCACTGCCGATTGTAATGCTTGACAAATATCCTTGATATTTGTATGGACACCTTTAATTTTTGTCCAGTTTTGAGTCCATCCTTGATGTCTAGATTTGTCACCACAGAAGATGTAAATGGCATCTAACTGTGGCATGTCATGAATTTTAGGAACCAAATGTTGACCCAAATAGCCTGATGTAACAACAAAGGCTTGTTGTTTGTCAACCTTGTTCAGTACTTGGATGCACTGATCTGATTCCGTAAATAGGTTGACATCGTTGGCCACGCTCTTCAATTGAGCCAGTGTAATCTGGCAGTCTTTGTTTGTTTCATCGATGCTGGCATCTACCCAGATGAGAAGGTAATTTTGTGCCATACGTTGTCGTGATTGACGAATATTTGATGATGCAGCAGCATTTCGATTTGATTCTGATTCGCTCATTCCGATCTTGTGGTAATTTTATTGTTGAAGGTGAACTTGTCAGTAGATATTGTTGCTTGAATGAAAAGAAAAATCACCGTTCTTCTTTATATAGGCAGTGACTTTTTATTTCTCGATTTTTCGTTGTCGCTCAAGGGCAAACTCCACCTAGTTACTTTTGAAAATAATATTGTGCAAAGCAAGAAACAGAACAAAGCAACCACATTTGCTGGTAATATTATTGAAAGAACGAACAAAACAGAAACTAACAATCGCATTCATTTTATTGTTATTCTTTCCAACTTATTCTTGCTTCTATCTACACCATTACTGCAGTTTGCTGACGTGTAAGCGACATTTTTTTCGTCAAGTAAGGGTAGAAAGAGAAATACTGTTCTTTCAGTGAATTAGTTTTTCTTTTACAGTCCTTGTCAAACATTAGATTTAATATTTGATGAATGTGTGCAATTTATTATGAAAAGAAAATGAGAAAAGTGTTGTGAAGTTTTGTGCATCGAGCATGCTTTAAACATTATGCCAATGAATGATAAAAAAACGTGTAGTCTTAATATTGATGAAAGTAAGATCGAAGAAACTTTTCTAACTTATCTATTTTATTGTAGATAATGGATTCCATTATGACAACGAAATATTGTAAGAACTTTTTTGTTTTCTGTTGGAAAAAGAAAAGTGTTTTTGTCCACGATCATTGAAGAGTTTTATTGAAAATAGTTTTTAAAAATCACAATAAATAAAAAGAAATTTCTTCATAATTTGAGTATAAAATACTATTATTGAACAAAAAAGGAATTATTTTCCATTCATAAAGGTGCAAATAACTATTTCATCAAATGATGTATTATCTGAAGTTACACAGAGCTTCTCTGTGAGGTATTCAAATGAAAGTTTGTTTTCATGTTAAAAGAACTAATTTGTGAAATGATTTCTTTACCAAATTATGTGCTGTTTATTGTTTGTACACTAGAACAGCTATTTTAATATAGTATAAATAGTGTATATATGTGGTGGTAGAAATTATCGAAAATTTCAGAAGAACTATAGTACAAAACAGAATTTATGCAAAACTTTCGCACTATCCCTTCTTATCTAATAAATATTGATTTTAGTTGACAGAAAAAAGAAGAAACTGAATAAATATAGCAATAATCTTGCAACAGTATACAGGCATACACCACTACATTTATGTTCATTACAAGTCATATTTAACGAAATTCCATGAAAAAACGCTGTTAAAAGTATTGTGAGAGAATTGTGTGTGGTATATAAGTGTTATATATAAGACAAATAATTTCTTTTCGTTTAAATCTAAAAATAAAATGTCACTATTATGAATACTGATCTATAGTTAGTCATATAAAATGCAAATATCAGGAGAAAGAAAGGTTGATAAAAAAAAGTACATTAAAAATGAAACAAACAAACGTTAATGCAGTTTTATTATTCTTGTCATTCTTTTTCGTCCTTGTTTGTATAATCACTTATCAGAATGAAGAGAGTGTTTGTAAAGAAATGAACTTGAAAAGAAAAGTACAGTTGCATATTCTTCTTTCTTTCTCATCGTCTGTTACTTTAATTTCTTTGAATGGATGAGTTAAATGTATGAAAAGCATGGTGAAGAATAGTTTGTTGGTTTAAAAAGGTTATACTACAGAAGATGTTTAATTATCTAAAACGATTGCTTATATAAGTCGTTTATTCTAATGGAAGCTATTGTTTTTTATAATCAAAAAATATATATGACAAAAGTCTTTGGGTGTGGGCGTGAGTGTGGGAATTCTACTTATTTTACCTACTCTCACACCCATCTTATTGTAATTTTGTACTTTGAACAATTTGATTACACGTATTTTTTATTTATATAAATCAAGAAATAAAAGATTATTTGATATTTAATGACAGAATTATTTTAATGAGTATTATTGAACTGCAAGAAAATAAAAATTATGAGTTTAATATTGGTTGTTGTTGTTGGTATCGTTAAATACTTCTTTTGTTCGAATTTTGTTATTACTTCATCACTAACATAGAAAAATGCTATTGAACATTATTTGTACTACAAATTAACATTTACTATTTACTATTTACTTTTATTACTATTATTTTCATTCATCAAGTGATGACTATTAATACTTTGAAAATCTAATTTTGTATTTCTTCAGACTACTTTCGCAATGATACATATTCGTTTTAGTTATTAAAAAACTCTAAATTCTTCTTCTTGATAATTCAATGTATCATAGATCGTGTAGTTCCTTTGAAACACTTAGTTAAAGCTTTATTAATTTAAGTATTAAATGCATTATAAAAAACTTTACAGATTTTCAAAGGACTGGAATAGATCATGGATAAAAAAAAGAAATCTTGTTGTTCATAAAATATATTATTGAATAGAAAGTATCTTTTTATTGAGTTTGATTATTATTTTAATCATTTTCAAGATGTATCTTATTATGCAAAAGGCGACTGATGATGTATCCTATTGAAATAATTACATCAAACAATCCAGTACATATCTAAAAAAAGAGAATCTTTTTTTTTGTATGGAAACGTCAGAAATTGGTTTAATTTTGAAAAATAACTTTTAAATTGCATAGTATTTTTAACCTGTAATTATATTTAAAGTAATCTTGTATATCAAGTGAAAATGGTGTTTATATGAAATAGTTTGAAGGCATTAACTATGAATATGTGATTAAATGTCGTTAATAATCAAGAATGAGAAGAAATTTCATTATGTTTACTTCTTTTAGCACGTAATTTAGTTTAATCTTTCAAGAAAAAATATATATGTTATTCATCTATACATGTAATTTTATATGTAAAAATATAAAATATAGATGACTTTGATCACCCCTAATGCTATTGCTAGGAACAGAAGATTAAGTTTATTAATTGTAATAAATAGATTAGTAATCAGTTTTGAATTTCATTGTTCATGTGAAATCTAATAAAAGTTGAAATAACGAGAATGTTTGATTGAATTTTATAATTTAACTGAAGAGAAAAAAGTTCTTAATAAAATATTTATAAAAAATATTTTTTCGAAAACAATAAATTTATTTTGAATTTACTTTTCGAAAACGATTCGTTTATTCAGATGAGTTGCATGTGGCGCTTGTTATCATTTTGTTTTATAATATCGATAGATATACCCAATAGTTGTTTTATTTTTGTACTGATGATGAAAAAAGTTGATAATCAACATCAGCAATAATTTTTACTCAAAGGACAAACTATGGTCAGTTCACTAGAAGAAAATGGTACGAAAAAAATTTTAATTTTTTGTTTAATTTCATATATTTCTTTTTAATTATTTTAGTAATATCAATTGAATTATCAAATACAGTCTATGAAAATGATAATAGTTTCGATTCAGGTATAAGTTCAAATGATAGTGAAGTTGAATAATATTAATATAAAAGTAAAACTTAATTTCATTTAGTTTTTTCGTAGTATAGAAAATTGTTCCCGATATAACAAAACAACATTATCGACTATATTGGATCATAATGAAGAAGAATGTTATATTGTAGTATGCCAAGTTTTTATTCCTTTTATGATAGCAGGATTTGGTATAGTGGCTGCTGGATTAGTTCTCGAATATGTTAAGGTATTGATTAATATTATAACTCTATGTTTTTTTTATAGTGTTTCTATTTAGGAATTAAATTTATTTAAAGAAATAACTGAAATTTATATATTGGTTCCATTTTTACTTGGCTTAAAAGGAAATTTAAAAATGACATTAACACCACGTTTATCTACGTAAGTATGTAATTAAAATTCATTTCAAAACATTCCATATAGACTTCTATGATTTTTGACTAATATTGGAAATATAATTTTAACACAATTACAAGCTATTGTTATTGACTTTCTTGCTGCTCTTGTATCACTTGCTATGGGATGGGTATCTCAAGGACATTTTAACTTACGACATACACTTGTTTAATTTATTAATATTTTACATTTTGTTGTGCATAAGATCAAATAAAAAATCTATTCTAAAAGATAAAAAAGATAGTATCGTCAATACACTTTAAATATTATAAAAGAAAATACGATATATGTCAACACATAATTCTTGTTGATATTTAGTAATGAAATGATAAATAAATGTGTTAAAAAAAATATTTTAACATTTTATAGCTGTTTCTTCATTATATTTGTAGGTTTTCTTTCTCTCACACAATTATTTGTTTTTTTCTTAAGGTAGAATCATATTATTTGTTATTGTCATTTCATATAAACATAAAGTGAATTGCTGCTTCACTCGGTGATTTAACAACACTTGGTATTTTAGCTAGCATCGGTGGGTTTTTATTTAAAGTTATAGGTAGGAATATTTGTAAATTCAAAATTTATATAATAAATCATACATTACTTAGATAATTATACATGGTTACCTATAATGATTACAATTATTTTTTTAATTTTAACACCGAACTGGATTATCATCTTTTCTCGAATGAATGTTAAACAATTTGTAAAAAAATTATTCTATTATAAAAAATAACACAACATTTAAAAGTCATCCGTTGTTGCTGCAAATGCTTATTTCAAGGTAAATAATAATAATACATAGGATTCAATTTAATCTTTTTTGTATTTGTTTTTTTAAATAGTATAGGTGATCTTATACTTGATTTTGATGTTAAAAAACACTCCGTAGTGTTGCTGTTTTTCATTTTGTTATGAATAGTAAATATTTATTTTTTATGAAATAAGAATTGTCAATAAATGTTATTATCTTTAGGTGTAGGCGATGATTTAGTAGCTGTTCAAACAAGTCAATTATCTACTACATTTCATCACCAAGGCAAACCAGAAGAATTTCAAGATATTACACAATATCATGCTTCAAAATTATTTCCTAATCCATATAAAATATTTTGTTCAACTAGTATATTATCGATCTGATTGATTGAATTATCGATTATTTTATAATTATTTATCAGAAAGTAATTCATCAAAGAAAAACTTGAATGCATCCATTATGTTTAATATTAATAAATAAATGTTATCACAAGTGATGTTTACTTTTTATGAATGATGAAAAACCAACTTAGTTGATTTCTATGATCAAGAATAAACGATATCAAATTTTTTTTTAATTTTTTTTATTCGATCGTGACACGGCAAATAATTTTTTACTTTGTTTATCATAATATACAATAACAAAAAAATAGGCAAACATGTGCATTTGTCCTTGTGTTGTATAGTCACGGATCATTGCCTTTTTTTCTTCCTATCTTAACAATTCTGCGTCGTCATTGTATACGATCGAAAAAATAAAGTGCGCATGCTTGTATTCACCTATACATATAAAAA